AGTCTAATGAATAAGCTTTCTTAGTCTATATTTAAGAAATAGGCATTGTGGAATCGCCCAAGCAGAATTCTCATACTAGTGTTTTGAATAGAGTAAATGGTGATGTGAGGAAAATTGAGTCTCCAGTTCTCGAGTTAGAAGAGAGGAAATGATTGCTAGAAAGGCTAATGAGAGTTGTGGTGGAGGATCATGAGAGCTTCTTGTTGAAACTTAAAAACAGATTTTATCGGTGAGAGGATCGTATTCTTATTTTTGGTTTTCTAAGCTTATACATATCCAAAGCCTTGACATATCATTTGCAATCTAAAATGTGTGCTTCTGATCTTATGTCCTAGACATTTTTTTTTCTTTTTTTCCCTTCAATTTCATCAGAGTTGGACAGTTCTGAGAACTAAATTTCATTTCGAAACAGTGGAGACTTTCAAGATGTTTCTATTTATACGGAAACTGAAATGAATCATTGATTGAATATCGAAATTTTTATATTTTGAGGTATTTTGGTACGTTACGATTTGTTGCGGTATATTTCAACCAACGTTTCGAAATATTTTAACCAATTGTTTCAGAAATAAAATTTTAATTTGACCTAAAATATTGATTTAATTAGTTACTATGCTTGATTTGACTAGGTTTTAGTATTTATTGAAATATTTTGTTAATTCGATAATAATTAATTAGGTTAGTAAATTATGTAAGTATTTTAGATTCAAACAATATTTTTCTTCTAATTATTCCGTGGAGATTTTAGGAAAAGCTTTGAATCATGCCACTTGGAATAGACACGTAGTTTTCCTATTCCTTGTGCCTAGAGTGCATTTTCAAAATAAGGGGGGACTTTCGAAGCCAATGGCTTGATCTGAAAGGGTTAATGTGATTGTAGCCAAGAATCATTTTTTTTTTTTAAAAATGGTCCAATCGTTTTCATTTTCAAAAGAATCAAAATAAAACAATAATAGAGTCAAAATTTTAATATTATGAGATTTTTAAAAATATTTAGATATGTTTAGTCATATTTACACTATTGTTTCGGATTTTAAAAAGTTTCAGTATATTTTGACCAATGTTTTAAAATATTTTAAAAATAAATTTTAATTTTTTTTATAGGTTTTCATTCTATTTTTGAAAAAATTTTTAAAAAATTTTAATTTTTAAGTGATCCAAATAACGCATCAAAATAAAATTTTAATTATTAGTTTTAGTTTTAGTCTTAGAGCAACTCTAACCTAACTCTCCATTTTAGTTACTTAAAATATATTTAAATATTACATTCTTTATTTTAGAGAGTTACTTTTATTAATTCACTCTAACTATGATCTCTATTTTAGCTAATTACTTCACTTAGCTTTCAATAACTTCCAATAATTTAAAGGGGATTGTAATATATATAGAGATAGAGAGAGAAAGAGGTAGAGAGAGAATTTGGAGAGGCCGAATGACTCTCCAAATAAAGAGTCATTTGGGTGAAATCAAAAATAGAGAATTGGATAGATAATGAGTTGGAGAGTTTTTGAAGTGTTTGGCTAGCTAAAATAGCTAAAAAAAAAAAATAAGGAAATAGAGAATGGGTTGAAGTTAATGTATTTGTTTGTTAAAATTGAGAAAATATTCATTACAACAGTGATACCATGTGATAATGTGATGTGATATCATCAATCAATAATACTAAAACAAATAAACAAATGAGTCCCACAAAAATCTATAACTAATTTGTCATGTAAACAAATAATTTTTCACCCTTTTGCCATGTAAGCTCCAATGGGGTTCACATTTTCCATTTGTAGTTTTATTATTTGTTGGTTATATCATGTTATCAATGGTGACATGGTATCACTATTATATTTAATATTTACTTGTTAAAATTGCTCTCCAATTGTTGATGTCGTGATCGTCTTCCTCAACTAGGCATGTTAATGAATTGGATTTTGATTCGAATTTGAATTTGAGTAGTCAAATATAAATTAATATTTTTAATCGATAATCCAAATTTGAATTCGATATCTTACATTTTACGAATTCGATTTAAATATATCTATATTTGATCTGATCCAAAGAATTTATATATTTTTTTTATATAAATATTAAAAAAATTAGTTAAATTTTAGGTGAAATTTGTTAAAATTTAGTTAATTAAGTTATTCAAATCAGATATTTGATTGTGAACAAATTCAGATATGTACCATGCAAATAAATTTCATCGAATTAATGGATCAGACTCAAATCAACCTTTTGAAATTAAATTCAGATTCGAATGATTCAAAATTGGATTCAAAATTGATCCATTCATAGACTTATGGCCTGGACATCCAAAAAAAAATTGTAACATGACCCTATTATAACGTCCATATTCAAACGCGAGTAATTTTTTTACACCCTAATAGCATTTTCAACTTTGACTTAATTTTTTTTTAAATTTGAGTAAAAATTTTAATTTTATATAAAAAATTTTAATGGACAAACTCAAATTTAAATGTAGGTGAAATATAATGAATAGAGGTGTAAAAATATGACACGATTTGTTAATACGACACGAAATTAGAGAGTTTGAGTAATTCTTAAACCACTTATTTTTATGAACAAGTGATCTGATCCAATACGATTAATAAATAAATCGAGTATAAGTAGAGTCAATAAAAAAAATACACAATACGACACATTTATATATTGACTATACATGATTCATACACGACACGAATCTAATTTAAAAAATTTCATCCGCACTCCCTGTAATTAGATTTAAATTCAATGGCATCCTCTCTAGATTTTGAAACTTCACTGTCATTCCCTGTCATTCTTTGTCGGATTATGGCGTTAACGGCGATTGTTAATTTATAAAAATACCCCTGAATATTTTATAGAGTAAATTTTATCTATTCTTTTTATAAATAGGCATAACTTCAACGATACCCCCCGTAAATATACCTATCTTTAAAAATACTCCCACCTGATTCAGAAATTTTATTGCACTCCTTTTTAGTTCTATTATAATAACCATTAGATTCATCAATTTAATATTTAATTTTATTAAATTAATGTCCTTTATTTAATTTAAACTAAATTAACATTTTATCTCATCAAATTGACACAAATTGACATTTAATTTTATCAAATTAGCATTTAGTTATATTAATTTAATATTTTATTTCATCAAATTAATATTATTTCTTTAATTTAACATTAAATTATTATTTAATTTTATCAAATCAACACATGATTGACATTTAATTTTATTAAATTAAAATTTAATACATTAAATTCTATTAATTTAACATTTGACCTTATCAAATTAATGTCAGTTATTTAATTTAAAACTAAATGAATATTCAATTTCATTAAAACAATATTTAAATTTATTCAATTAACATTAAATTTTATTAAATTGACACTAAATTAATATTTAAATTTATCATATTAAAACCAAATTTATTTAATTAATATTAAATTTTATCAAATAATATTTAAATTTTATATATGAAAGGTGATGTATGAAGAGTGATCATGTGACATTGTAGAGGACAGACGACAGTAGAGAAGTTAGAAATCGATGGAATTTTGACATTGACGTTTTCGATTGTAATTTTATTATAGAAAAATTATTTTTAACTATAAAATAAATTTAAAACCCTTTAATTTATAACGAACAACAAAAGCATACTACAAAGAGAACTTAGATAATATAAGAAAATAAGAAATCGAAAAGTATACCTCTAACCCAATTGCTTATAAGAAAATGAGCTTAAGGACTTAAAAGTATAACGGTTATTTTGGATGAAAAAAATTTTAAAAAATTGGCATGAAAAAAATTTAAAAAATTTGCATGAAAAAAATTGAACTATCTGCATGAAAAAAAATAAAAAAAAACTGCTTGAAAAAATTAAAAATATCTACATGAAAAAAATTAAAAAAAAATTGCATGAAAGAATTTTAAAAAATCTGTATGAAAAATATTTACAAATCTGCAAATTTTTTTTTTTTTTTATCAACTTAGGTAGTGATCAATCACTATAGAGAACGAGTTAAAGTATAATGGCTAGTTTCAGGTCCCTATGTCTTCTAGAAACCCCAGATTATTTTGGACTTTCACATACAATAAAATGTGTGGTATATATAGTGGAAAAATGGTTAAGGATATTTTAATATATTTACATAATGGTAGTTTTGACATTTTAAAAAAAATTATAATCAAACCGCTACTTTTTATACTGACAGAGTTAAAAATTACCGTTTAAAGGATGTCTTTGATTTGAATGTATAAACCAAAAAGGCTGCAGTGAAGTTTCAGAATCGAAAAAATGTGTCATTCAATTTAGACCTAAAAAGAGGGGCGTGAATGAAAATTTTCCATTAATAAATGAATGGACATGAGCAAATTGTTTTTTGACACGAACCCGCTAAAACTCGACATAAACCTATTTTATCCAATAAGATTGGTAGGTGTATTTGAAAGAAGAACAAAATCTCATTATTGGTACTTTGAATAAAAGTTTGAGTATTCTTTGATTGAAGCAAAAATTTGAATTTTCTTAATTTAATACGAGTTGAGGGATAAGATTAAAGAAGATTTTTGAAATATTTTTAGTTAAAAATGATAGAATTTAATGAATATTTGTAAGAAAAAAATAATATTTATTGATATTTTATATAATAAAATATAAAGTTGAATTTTATCCCTTTTACGTTTTTCTCCCTAAAACTATTACATTACTTATTTCTATCACATGTTTAGTAATTTAATATTTAATTAATTTGTAATTTAACATAATTTTTATTTCAGATATTATCCATATACAATAGTATACATATGTTAAGAAAATTTTATCGAATTATATATTTTGAGAAAATTCTGTCAATATTTTTAAGGAATTAATGGACAAAAATAAATTTTGAATGATGAAATCAAAGAAATAAAAAAAATTATTATTTAATATAATGAGATTAATTTTTTTATATTGTTACTAAAATTTAAGTTTGAGTATAAAATAAGGTAAAAATCGGAGGGGCACGGAGATTAACCGAAGATGAATGAAGAAGAGAGAAGCGGCGGTGACCAGAAAAGAAACTTGATGATTCCCACCAAAGTTAACTCATTGACAACTGTAAAGCTGCAGTCCACGAATCCATTTCACGAAACCAACGGCCCAAATTCAGCTAATCAGGAAAGACCCCAGAAATTGCCATTCACAATACAAGAAATTCGTCAAAGTAAAATCAAATCGAACAATCTCGGAGCCTTTTTCTTCAAGATCGAGCAGATCTCTTCTTTGCTCTTCATTCCAGATCTCTAACTCCAGGTAGGTACCCTATGCATCCCTACATTCCTTACTTCTTCATTCCGTTCATAATCACACACACACAAGCGTAAATGTAATTGTTTTCTGAATCGATGTCATTTTTTTTTTTTTTTTTTGTATTTGTGTTTTTGCAGGACTGAAATGGAAAAATTGGCTGCAGATTTGAACTTGAACGGATCAGAGGTAAGGGCCGTGAACCCTAGCTGTAAATCTGATTCAATGTCGATGAATTTGAGTAATGGAAAGGTTAATTCCAACAATGCTACAACTATAAAACCGTTTAAGGTCTTTGTGGGCTACGATCCGCGCGAAGATCTCGCGTACGAAGTCTGTCGCTACTCAATTCTGAAAAGATCTTCAATACCCGTTGAGGTCATTCCCATAAAACAATCTGAATTGAGGCAAACTGGTGTGTACTGGCGTGAAAGAGGCAAGCTTGAGAGCACCGAGTTTTCGTTTAGTCGGTTCTTGACGCCGTATTTGGCGAATTTCGAGGGTTGGGCCATGTTTGTGGATTGTGATTTCTTGTATTTGGGTGATATTAAGGAGTTGTGTGATTTGATTGATGATAATTATGCTATAATGTGTGTCCAACATGATTATGCCCCAAAGGAAACCACCAAAATGGATGGGGCAATTCAAACGGTGTATCCAAGGAAGAACTGGTCATCAATGGTGTTGTATAATTGTGGGCATCAGAAGAACCAAGTGTTAACCCCTGAGGTGGTGAATTCGGAGTCGGGTGCGTTTCTGCATAGGTTTCAGTGGTTGGATGATGATGAGATTGGGGAGATTCCGTTTGAGTGGAATTTTCTTGTGGGGCATAACAAGGTTGTTGAGAATGATCCGACCTCGGATCCGAAAGCCATCCATTACACTCTTGGAGGACCTTGGTTTGAGGCTTGGAAGAATTGTGAGTTTGCTGATTTATGGTTGAATGAATGTGCGGAGTACAGGAGGAAGGCATTGGAGAAAAATGTTTGATTATGTAGCTGTTTATCGTTTCGTTTGCCGTAGTAGAGGTAATTGGTTGATCACCATCTATTTGTTGAATTGTTTTTGTATGTTCTCAAGGTAATGCTCTATCCATATCGCTATCGGATTATACTTGTTTTGAAGTTAAACAGGCGCTGCTGCCATATACAATGAGGATGTTACATTCATATTATTTAATTCTGTCGTTCGTTCTGTATGAAGTGTATTACAATTGTTTTAACGTTCCACTGTAATAGCAACTTCTTTGGTTGGTTAGAAAATAACAGCAGCCTTTATGTTATGCGTATGCAGTATGGCTGGGATGTATTTGTAACCGCATCTCCCGTGGTTAGCGCTATTAATCAAACTTGAGATACTCGACCTTCACTTGAGTTCGGTTCGTTTAGTCTTGATTCATTTTTTAAACGAGTCTGAATTTGAACAAATTTTTAGGCTCGTATATAAAACAAGTCTTATAAATTCGGTTCAAACTTGACAGACTCGACTTGTTTATGTGCAAATTCTTGGGCTCGGCTTGTTTTTGACCCGTTCAAGCTTGACTTGTTTTCTAAATGAACTGAACTGGAACAATTGTTTAGACTCAATTAAAAAACAAGTTTCTTAAGCTCGGCTCGCACTTGACTTGGACTCGTTCGACTAAGAGTCCTACCGGTGGTTACTGAAACTCAAATTTGAGTATTAACATATTAAAAACAAATTTTGATTTTTGACTTAAACCTATACCAAATGAAGAAAAGATTAAGCTTTTTACTTAAATTAAAATAAACTCAAATATATACTTAAATCTTCAATGGTTAGATTTACTCATTTAAAAGATTTAATGGTAATATTTCACTTTTTTTTTTAAAAAAATTTGAGTTTGCCTATTGAAAAAGTATATACCAAATTAAACTTTTTAGTCAATTTTTTATTTAAATTTGAGTTTGAGTGTAGGTCAACATTGGGCATCTCCAACGTTGACTCAAACTCAAATTTGAGTAAAAATTTTGATTTTGAATAAATCTCTCCAATGAAAAATACTAAATTTATACTCTTATCTCTTTACAAAATTCTCATATTATCCTAAGAGCTCACTTTTAAAAAAATTTCTCCAAATTTTTTTTTCCTCTCCTCTTTCCTCCATTCTGTATATTTTTCCCTCCAAATCCTCTTTCCCCTCCCAACCCACAGGATTTCAATCTCTTCACAAGCCACAGGATTTCAATCTCTTCACAATCCACAGGATCTCGCATCAAGGGGTTTGAGTAGGGCCTATTTTCTTTTAATTCCATGACCGACTATTCCACGAAATCCGACAAAAGGTCACACACCGACAGAGAGAAAAAGAAGACAGAGGACAGAAAGAAGAACATCGCCGACAGTGAGAAGAATTTTGTTTTTGGCTCAAAAGACTTTGAGTACAAGTTTGATGTTGTCGCGATTTGGGTGGAGGAAAGGGTTTCTTTGATTTGTTATAAGTTTGAGTCATTTTTACTCAAATTTAAATTTGAGTAAGGAACGGTGATGGCCCAAGTATTTTAATAGTTTATACTGAGATGATGCAGAAAGATGGTTGGTTATCTTGTTTCTAGTTCTTCATGGATGAAATAAGATTGCTCTATAATTGTTTCTGGTTGAATAATTAAACCTGGACAGGTGGTGCTCGTCAATTGTGTTATAATCAATTCCCACCAACTTAAAATTAAAAATGAAACCTTGGGGGATTAGTGACCAGAGCTATGAGGATATGAAGATTAGGTAAATGTACAGTTATGCCAATAAAGCGTATTATTGCTGTATGGAAGGTAGAAGGAACACGTTAAGTTTTAAATTTTTCTTAACAATATACACAACCCCAGCTGGGTTGGATTATTGCGAAGTTGGGGTAGATTTGAATTCCTCAACCTCTTTTAGCATCAATAGAAATAGAGGTGTTGATCAAGTCGACCGAGCTTAGATATGCTTAGGCTCGGCTTGGCTATGAAGAGACTTGTTCGGATCTGGCTCAGGCTTGACCATCGAGTCTAAAAAACTAGAGACACGAAGTTTCTGATCCATAGTTGTGTGTGTGTGAGAGAGAAGTTTCTAATGCATAACTCTCAATGCGTGTGTGCATGCGAGGGGGGAGGGGGAGGGGGAGAAATTACAAAGATGTGAGAGGTACTAAATAAGTAAAATAGTCAAAGTGTGTCCTTCCAATATACAAATGACAAAAATTGAATCACCCTAGGTAGTGTTAGCTCGTAGGTATTTAATGTTATTTACACCCAAAAATAAAAAAAATCTAAGGGTGGTATTTAGAAGTAATTCAACAATCACGAAAGAGTTTGTGAGAGTCCACACTTGACAGAGTGGTTAAAGAAGTGAGACTTTACAGTTGCGTTTGGTAACGTTTTTTATTTTTAGTTTTTTTTAAAAAAATAAAAACTGAAATAGTTTTCGGTTTTCAGTTTATAAAAAATAAAAACCGAAAACCTGTTTGATTATATTTTCTGTTATTAAAAAAAATGAAAATAGAAACAAAAAACTTGTTTGATAAACACTTATAAAATATTTTATGAACAACTTATTTACACTATACACTTTCATGTTAGTTTAACTGTAAAAATAACAGAATATAAGGATAACATATTAAGGCATAACATAATTCATAAACATCCATACTACAAATATATCCTATAATTTACGAACATCTAAGATAGCAATCCATATATACTAAAAACCACATGTCTCAATGTCCAACACTTGCCCACAACTCATTGGCAATGCAATCTCGCACACGAGCCATTTGATGAATCTGAGTTTAACTGATATCTATTTCAATCGGGTTCTGTGAAGTCGATCTTGCATTGTCATCCATCCTTTCTTCATTACTGAACTCAGCAAATAATTGATCTTGAGCAGCGTGCATTCTAATGAAATTGTGAACTGTACAACAAGCTGTTGGAATGTATTTTTGTGTTCTTATAGGGTAAGGAACCATTTGTTTGAGAATGGAAAACCGAGCCTTTAGCACTCCAAAGCAACGCTCAATGACATTCCGAAGTGATGAGTGACGATAATTGAATAGCTATATCTTAGTCCTTGGACGTCGTCCACTACCTCTATAATCACGTAAATAATATTTCTCACCACGATACGGTGACAAAACCCAGGCATGTTCGTATCTCCAGCATCAACAACATAATACTTATCTGGCAAATGGTAGACATGTACAGTAAGTGATAAGTTATAAATTCTACGAATAGAAAGAAAGATTACAATGAAGAATATTACCTCTTTCAGGCATTGGGAAATTATTTTCTGGATTGTTAATGGACTCAATAAATGCTCTCGAGCCATTAGCAGTTCCTTTCCAACCACTCATAACAAATGTGAATTGCATGTCAAACGAACATGCACACATGACATTTTGTGTTGGTTCAACTTTCTTACCGCGGTATGTGATTTGCTTATTCATTGGTACACGTGCATCAACACGAGTTCCATCTATAGCACCGATACAATTTTAAAACATAATAGAATGTTAATATACATAATGATGTGTATAACAAATAATAAGAAATAGAAGATACATTACCTTGAAAAATGGATAGTAATTAGGATTGTGTCGAATCTGAGGTGGAACGATATGGAAATCAGGAGGTCTGATAATGTGCACTCCAAGTCTACAAATTTCTTTCAAGACTCGATGAAAGTATGTGGAAATAGTGTGATCTGAATGTTGGAATCTCTCTACTACCAAACGGACTCTCTCATTGTGAGATATAATCAATAAAAAAATAGCTACTTGTTCTTGAATTGTCACATACCTAGAGTTTGTTAAATTGTCCTTACTTTTTAGTTCTTCACAAAACAAAATAAACACATGGGGGTCCATCCAAAACTGATCATAGCACATGTCCTCATGTCCATGCAATATTTCTAGAACATAGTCATGATCTTTAAGTACAAAGGTTCTACATGGTTTTTTTATCAAAAATTCTATTAGGGTCCTCTACGAGTAATAACATTACACACATAACTATCTCATACTCTTCCCCATCCCTCTCAATCAATTGAATGACATCATTTGAGTTCATCATATCCATAAAGTACATAATACAATAACAACAAATAATGATTAAGCCAAACCAACGATATATTATTCTACAAAACATTGAAGTCATCACAAAAAATACAGCCATGACCTAACACATCACAAATTCATGACTACACCCCTCTTCCGATGATCAGACAACTCCAACAACACTTTCCACCACACCACATTATCACGCATCAATTTTAAGACTTTTGTATAAATCGCATTATCAATGTCCTCAAGCGAGTTCAAAGCATCGATGCAATCTTTCAACAAGTCGGGATTTGGGTCAATCATAGTCATCGAATCAACCATAGAGTCTGCACAAGTTGATGACGATCCAACACTTGCCATTATTTTCTCGTAAAACTCCGACCTTACCTTTGTAGATTCAGCTAACATGTTTAGTGCATTGGCAAGGGCACGAGTACAAGAATCTTTCTTCGTACGTCGACTACTATTAGGAGTGATAGAGCGGCTTCGATTACAATTGGTAGCAGTTGGATTATCATCCACGTTGTCATCGACATTTCCATATTTCTCATCATCTTTTGGGTCATAATTGGAGTCATGTTCATCATCAGAGGGAGGCTTGGTTGAAGGGTAAGCATGTTCACCAGTTGCTGTTGTGTCACCATAGATTCTACACAATGCATCATAATGTGGACAACCCTTTTTCTTGAATTTTTTGGCATTCTTATTGACCTAACAATATAGGATTATTATAAAGCACATTCTAGTAATGACCATTTTATGAAAATCATATCACATTTGAACACAATAAAAATTTATACCATGATCAAATTTTTTTCACACATCATCTGGCAGAGTCACTGTCTCTTTCTCTAGATCCCAACCAACTCTTGTAGTTTCATTAACTAGTTTGTGGAAATCACCCCATACTTGCATCAACTGATTAAACTTATTCTTATGTTGCTCATGGTTATATGAATACCTAATTCAACTTTTCAGTTCCTCAAGAATGTATTTTCACGCTTCTCTTTTGAATGTAGTTGTACCTCTATTTTCTTTTGCAACCTGCTCATCCATTAAATCTATAAAAATTGCCTCACTCTTAGTAGGCAATGGGGTATCAGTTTTGGTGGATTGAACCTTAACCACATCGTCACTACCTACATTGCTTACATTGGTATTCAACATCTACATCCATACATTTCAGTAACATCATATGTATGAAAAAAATTGATGAAATCAGATTTTTTTAGTGCATGGACAATAAATTCAAAGGCAAAATCATGGATTAAAACAAA